ATGCTGGGATGGTCGTGGTTGGGCGTTCAAAATGTACCGTATCGAAAGGTCCAGGGTCCCGAAAAATATAAATGATAATTTAGGGGCTTCAGGGGTTATTTAATCGATTTTAGGTAGATAGACTAATTGGAAAAACATTTTTTCTCCCTGATAGTTTTTCTTCTTTTTGGGGGGGAGGGGGAAGTGGGGGAAAGAAAATTTAAAGCGGGAGCAAATAAAAAAACCCATGCCCCCATCCATTTAAAGAACATAGATTATTAATTTTCAATCGCAGATGAATTTAAAAATATAGTTTTCAATATACAGTAATTTACACTAAGGCCTATGCAAAAAATATGTAGGCCCTGCCATATCTAATTGCTAACTTTCGTAAATTTATCAAGCGGAAGGGTTTTTTTTTTCTCGTTCCCATTTTCATTTGAAAGCAACGGTATTATTGAATTAAATTCATTATATATATTTTTTTTTTTATTTAGACCCCAAACGAGGGCACTGAACTAGAGAAAGCGCTTTTAGATTTATAGACCAACTTCACACAAGAAATTAATCATCGTCTCAGAAAAAGATATAAATTAAATAAATGTAAAAGATATGACGTCAGAACGATCTAACCTTAACCACCATTTGACACCCAACAAGTCAATATTAGGAAAACGGTTAACGACGTTGCATTCCTGAGATGTTATCAATGAATTATAGGGACACAGTGAAAAGTGGGCCCCTGTACAATCGTGAGATGTATTAAGGTCATTATGCCTAATGTCGCACGAACTGATTGAACATAATATTCTTTTAATTCGGTAATTTAGGCCTTAACATGATGATGTTTGCTATTGTTGTTTTGTATATCAAACGATTCCCTCACAAAGAATAATGCCAAACGATAGGACCAGAACAGTCAAGAATATCGGTAATAATATATTGTAGTTTGTATTCAGTGTTGAACAATGCAGGTACTAGAAATTCGATAAACACAATTGTCAATGGAGGGAGAGTGATCTAATAATCATTATATAATTGTCGGTACAATTTTTCCCTTCTTCTTGATTCTTCTTGTGGCCATTTCTTATACACTTTATATAAAAATGATATATAACTAATAATGATATAGATAATATTGATTTAAACATGGACTTAAACTAGTATTAGTAATTCTTACCTAAACAATATATTAAATCTATATATAAATATGGAGCGGTTGCGTTTCGGTCTCTCAAACTTGAGGTGGGTGGGGGGGGGGGTGTCGCTGTGCATTTCGCTTATGTTCTGGACAAGGCAGCCGACACTTTACCTATACGTTTGTCTCTCTCCAACCATGAGATATAAAAATGGGTACCCGGTTCAGTACGGTACTAGGAGGAAAAAGGCGGCGTGTAAAGCGCTGTCCACTCTACCACACAATGCCCAGGCTTACTTTAGTACGATGAATAACAGCTCATTCCAGTTAGGCCCAGGACTAACTTTACCATTACTTTTAATAATAATATCAACTAATAAATAAAATTTATTTAAACGTAAGCTAAATCACTAAACTAAAGAGTTCGAATCATCCGGGAGAGAAGAAGTCATTTCCGGGAGAGCTGCGTGGGAGCGGATGGGGGGCTGTCTCTTATACACATCTAGATGTGTAGGGGAGGGGAAGGGAAGGACTTTCATAAATGGAGGGTCTGACCACATCAGCTCCACCCAGTGACGGATACAGGAATTCGAAATAGAGGGGACCCAGGGAGGAACTTTCAAGTCTTTCAAGATGGAGGGTCGACCAACTTCAGCCCCACCATGGTTGGGGCTGAGGTAAGAAAAATTATGATTATGGTACTTCTAGATGGTCGGAATGACGAATTACGCTCTCAAACCTAGATTTGAATTTTTTTTTTCTCAAACACCATTTTCGTGTCGTAGAAAAACAGTTGTGCAACATATCATCAATTGTTTTCCTCCTTTCCTCCTGAGCCTGGCTTTAAAATTTGACGTATGACGAATGGATGTAGACAGTCACTGACCGATCACGTGCACTTTATTTGTTCATTAACTGTCATCAATTAAAAAGATGTCAAGGGGTAGGAGTTGATGACATTGAAAACACCATGACTAGACCACCATTTCTCACAATATCCGTATTTTAATTATTTATTCGTGATTAACGAGGATTCGTGGATTCGAGAATGTTGTTGTTGATGGTATTATTCATGATGTTGGGAATTTCAGCAAGCTGTTCATGTGATGCATATACTTAATTAACCATTATATCGAAATGCTTTCCTAGAATGGTTAAATTAATGATGCACAGAAAATGAGGAAAGAAAGCCTAGCAAAATGAGCTGATAGAAACATTAGCGTTTCATGAATTGATAACTGATAATAAGACACTAAATTGATCAATTTTTACAATAATATAATGATAATATAATAATGATATAAGAATAAAGCTAATAATGATAATGATGATGATGATGATGGTGGTGGTGATGATGATAATGATAATGATGTTAATGATGATGATGATGATGATGATAATGGCAACAAAATGATGATAGTGATGATTATGATTATGGTTATAGTGGTAATGATCATGATCAAGATCAAGATCATGATGATTATTATAATTATGATAATGATTATGATAATAATAATAATAATAATTATTATTATTATTATTATTTTTATTATTATTATAACGATGATGATGATGTGAATGATGATGATGATGATGATGATAATAATAATAATAGTAATGGTATTGAATAGTACTTTTGACGGTGGTATTCAATGATGGTGATAAAGATGAATCATTGTAACTAACATTGATATTTTTTAATGACTGTTTTCTTTTATATTTTATATATATTTTATCATTTTTTGACGAGCAAAGAGTTTCGCTTTAGTGGAATAATAAAATTATCTTATCATCTACAGTACTGTATCTATACTAGTATGTTTGAATTACCGTATACCTTATGTAAAATATAGAAATAAACCAGTTAACACTATCCTCTCTCTCTACACTATCAGTGATTTGATACTATTACTGATTAATAAAATTAATTGTTTCATACTAAGATTATAATTGGCTTTTTTTTTGTTATAGTGCAATACAGTACAGTATTGAGATTAACGAGCTTGCTCTTTTGTATAGCGACGATACCCCCGAGGACAATATTAACGTGGCCTTGCGATGACGTCACTTTCTACCAAATCCACATTCATTCATAGACATGTGCATCCATGTGCGACGGCGCGAGAAACTGGATGAGTCGTGTGTCGAAACAAAATGTAAGTGTGCGAGTTTTCAATTTGGAATTTAACATTATTGGTGATTATGGTAAGTACTTTCACTTGATAAACTCTGTTTTATAATTAAAGATTGAATTAGTGGAAAGGTGATGGTGTGGACGGATCTTGAGAAGGAAGGAACAGACCTTCCGTTCGCACAGTGTAAATAGTTTAGAGACAGGAAGTACCTAAGCTGCTTTCAACTGAAAATATTCCGTATTTATTATTAAGATAAATTACAGGTGCATTGTCTGTTATACTACTGTATGCTGTTTATTTGTAGTTTATCAATACATTAAATATTATGCTTAACTGCCATTAAATACATGCAGCAGGCCTGCATTTGTTTAGCTAGCCAAACATTCTAGTATTTATTAGGCCTAGGCTAGTAGTATCATCACTACGTAGTACGAACTCCCTGCATACCAGACACTGCTGTTGTATTTGTAGCAGCAGAACAAAAGAATCAAAGTTTCCGTGTACAACGCGTGGAAAAAATCAGTAACCATTTAAATCGGTCACCCTTCTGTAGGCATAAAAAATTACTAATGAATGAAATTTAGATAAAAATTTTGAGTAAATAATGAATTTCCTTCAATTAAGCTTCCCCTCTCAACCCCCAGTTGGATTGCCAAAATGCAGGGATGAGGAAGGCTCCATCCATTGCAAGATTGGGAGCGAGGTGAACATTGATGTTTAAATAAACCCTAATTTTTCTGGCCAAAATCTGTATGTTTTGGGGAACTAATATGTTTCAAAAATGTATCCTGATTACTTTCTTTAAACACCCATTTAATTTCTTACTTAATAGTATTCCATGCTGACAAACTTTATTTTTCCAAAGAAGAAATTTAAAGCCCCATTCCCGGCAAAATTTCAGTTGTTAAGAAAAATCTAATTTTTGTATAATGTTTAAATAAAGATTTATAAGTATAATACGGAATTGCTAGTTTAACTAAATTTTGACATTCCTAAGCATGAACAAAATGTAAAATAAGACTGGAATTTGATTTTTTGTGTTCCACACAAAAAATAAATGCGGATGAATTTTTCATGTTTGATTTTGCGATAGGTCGTGCGAAGAAATATAGTAGGTGCCGAAAACATTAGCCTATCCAACACTGCTAGGCTAGGCCTAGCCTTACCTCGATTTAGGTTCTGTTATTACACATAAAAACAGAAGACATGATATTTTCCGTTGCTAGTATTGACACTTGTGAAATATATTTCATAGGAATTATTTCAAATTTCTTAAAAAACTGATTCTGACACTTAAACAAACATATCTCAGGCCTACTCGAACGACCACATTGTGCGAGATGTGAAGTACAAAAACTAATCCCATTAGAGAGGGCGTAGTTTATTGACTGTATAAAGTATACATAAAAGCGAGAGTATTCCAGCGGATGCGATCTACAATCTCCGAATTTGCCTAGTAACGAAGAATTCATCGAGAAAATGGTAATATTCTATGAGAAATAGTCTGTATTTCTCATTTTTTTTATTCTTTTGCATAAAACTAAAATTTATGCCAATATTTTTCCATGATTTATAATAATTGGAGTACTGCATATGCATCTTTTCTAAAAAAAAACATCTGTTTTTAGTGAAATTTTGCCAGGAATGGGGCTTTAATTTAATCATTTAAAAATCTCATTAACGATTAGTATAAACAAAAATAGGACATTCAAATATCAGTATATAACAAAAAAAAAATTATTTAGAATCTTACGCTGTGGGATCAGTTTTAGAGATATAGTATGCAATCACAGGGGTGGATCCAGTAGAGGGGACGTGGCGTGGGGCACGTCCCCCGTTTTGCCACTAAATTTTTAAAATTTCGGTGCATATCAATGCTAAGTGCTACTCACTTTTACCCTATCTATTCTGAAACTATTGTCCCCTCCTTTTGAAAAAAATCTCGATCTGCCCCTGATGATTTATTAACTTGACATCAGCCTTTATGTTTGTCATTAATGTTACTCTTTGCACTTCACTAAAATGTTCTCGTGCCATTAACTTTGCGGTCGGGGAAAGATTAATTGAAGTAGATCGAGTGCACCTGATCAGCTATATTGCATCTGCTTGTCTCTCTGATGTTGTCACCGTTATGGAGTAGTATAGTTTATGTTTCTAAGAATCAAGAAACATTTGCCAACCAATTAACCAATTAACATTTCTACTGAAATACTTGAGGTGAAACACTATCATAAAATCACTTGGCTATAAATTCATCATTTCTTTTGATAAAAAAAGATAAACAGAATTTTAAGTAAGTTTCAGAACAAAAGTTTTCATGTACCAAACAAGATAAAATGTTTCTTCAAGGCAGTGCTTATTCAAGGTGGGAACTTCAGTAATTGAGAGCACACCTATTACAAATTATTACAGGGGCAGATTTAGGGGGGGGAGTGTCATTTTGGAAGGTAGAAAAAGAAAAAAAAAAGAAAGTTTGAGAGAAAAAGAAAAAAATGTATTGCCCAAAACGCCTCAGAGGTTATTTTCGGGGGTCTACAACACAAAAAATTTGCGTGGCATACCCACAGACCCCTTAAAGTAGTATTATCTCAATCGGCCCCAATTTTGTCCCCCATTTTGTCCCCCTTTTTGACATCTCTGGATCCGCCGCTGTATTGGATTATTCAGTCTGTGATACATTGGCTTATCTTTGGCAGTCACTTGTGATTAAGCAGTGCAATGTTCATTAAAATAATAGAATATATCTAACTACTGTATGCTGTAAGTAAATTATACATTGGTTCATATCATTTTGATATTGGTGACATTGGTGGTTTCATTGACAAGCCAGACACAAACTCCGCCGATAGTCAGTGGAATGAACATAACCATCTATATAGTTTTATTATTAATCATTAAATAATATTTTTTATTCTTATGGTATAATTAAATTTAAAGAAAATATTTCTACTTTAGTTTATTTTGTGGCTCATATATTTAAATATTTTTGTCTTGCATTCCTACTGTACACCTTTATTCTGCTGCTATTCTCCAACAGGGACCAATTAACACATTACTTGTCCCACAGGATGCTGCTTAGGGCGCCAAGGACGACTATACTCGTCAAAATCGGGGTAACATTCTAGCGTTTATTACTTCATGTAGATTGTAGAACCACAGACTGAACTTTAACACACTGGAAGGAACCTTAAATACAGGTCTGGCAGTCAGTGGGTTAACCTCAGTTTCATGATGTCATATTAGGGATTGAAGCTGTTTTTATTTGTAGAGAAATACAGTAAGGCCATGTAAAAAAAAAATGTTGTTGATCGTCCCCTCCCTACTTACAAAAAAAATCACCCGACCAATTTTTTTTTTTTTTTCATTATTTTTGCCAAAACTCACAAAAATGTTGTCTTTCTGCCCATAATTCTACTTTGGCTAGGCCTACAGTACCTGTCTCTTATACACATCTAGATGTGTATAAGAGACAGCTCCAATCGAACAACTGTCTGAACACTAATTATAGATAATTATCTAAATCTACATTTTAATTATCAATTAAATTATTTTATATCAATTTATTGCATACTGCTGGTATTATTGTGTATACTCAGTATGTGTAAATATTAAAATTTAAGTTGCTATTAAACGGGCAATCAGAAAAGTGCAAAGTACCAGTTAATTACTGTGCACTACTAATAACTGTTTTGTTAAAACCATAGAGAGCCCTTTGTTGTATAAGTGAGTGGTTTGTTACCTAAAATTAACAAAAATAAATAAATAACATCTTCTGGCTTTCAATTTTCATGTTATTTTAAAGACAATAGAATTCAAAATTAGTAAAGAAATGTACTTTTATTAAACAATGACAGGGAGAAAAAACATAACATATTATAAAAAGTAATATTATAGTTTATTATGCCTATGATCTGTCTCTTATACACATCTAGATGTGTATAAGAGACAGGTCCCCCTCCCTACTTACAAAAAAAATCACCCGACCAATTTTTTTTTTTTTTTCATTATTTTTGCCAAAACTCACAAAAATGTTGTCTTTCTGCCCATAATTCTACTTTGGCTAGGCCTACAGTACTGTAGACTTTATTTTCTTGCTAAATTTTTTGTCTTTCAATTGTTTGTTCATTTACACAAGTCCTTGCACTCCATTGAAGACTTGGCATGTATCAGAAAAAAAAACAAAAAAAAAAAAACCTCCCTCTCTACCGACTTTTTTTTGTTTTTTTTGAAAGGACAATCAACAACTCTTTTTTTTTACATGGCCTAATCCAGGTTTTGTCAGTAATGTAGTTTAATCAAGGGCCTTGGCATTAGAATTACTTAACATTATCTCTATTTTTGAAGCATGTGCGATCTCACAAGTGACTATTTGCAGACCCTTGTACAGTTAGTTAATCAATTATCACAACATGTTTAATGTGTTCTACCGAGTGTTGAACTTGTGTATTTGCAAACTGTATGATATATACATCATACTGTACTGTAGTTGGCAAAATGAAAGGTACAGTAATCCGGTTGTAACTAAACTCCAATCCAGCGTTCATAGACTCTTAGATTGCTTGTTGAAAGTTTTCCATGGTGTGAAATCCAAACAACCTAATCAAAAAATATCATTTAATTATGATTTCTATTCAATTACAATTTAGTTCAGTTTTACGACACATGCAGACTGAAGTGATTGATTAAATTAAAGTGCTTTCTTTCATGCATGACCAGCACAAACGTCATCAATTCATTTGCCGTTGTATCTTAATAGTTTTAATTTTCTTTGATCGTGTTAGAATAATGATTATACTCTTGTGAACAATACGGTCGTTGTCACTTTCCGAGGCTTCCCTGTCATCTTGAATATAAATGGTCCATCAATTGGAAATAATTAGACAGCAATAGATAGCAATTAGCGTAGTGGGTCTTCTGTTGGCGTACTGTCGGGTCCAAGTAGACTCCAATCGAACAACTGTCTGAGCACTAATTATAGATAATTGTCTAAATCTACATTTTAATTATCAATTAAATTATTTTATATCAATTTATTGCATACTGCTGGTATTATTGTGTATACTCAGTATG